GTGAGCCACCACGCATGGCCCATAGTAGAGCTTTAACATGCTAATGAAACATGCTCCACGAAGAGGCCTATAATAGAACTATGCAGGTGCAAGAAAATCTCCACCTCTACATGCTTACATGTCTCCCCTTTCCCACCTAAGCCTCTTTAAAACTCTCCCTAAACTCACCTGGGGAGCCAGCCTGAGGACTCTTTCTTTTGTGCTGTCTCCCTCATGATCCAACCATAAGCCCCAATAAAGCCTTGCCTGTAACTCCTGTTTGGCCTCCTGTTAATTTCTGTTACATAGAGCGCCCCACGACCCATGCTGGTCACAGTAGGCTAGGTTCAGATTGGGTGCCCCTGTCCTAATGTCAGGGAATTATAGGCACCATGATGCCTGAGACTGTGTACTTTAGAAAGTAGCTGCATTCTTTCTGGTTTCCAAATGAGTTTTACAAGATATTGACTGGCCACTTCCTTTTTAAGAGCAGTAGTGGTCAATTTAAGTATAAGACCAAACTTGTACCATGACAGTTTGAGTGGCACCTCAAATTTGTGCAAACCTTCTATGTATACATGGTCAAATATAGACATGGACATTAGCATGTTAGAAATTATACAATCATATATATAACTACATATAAAAAGTTATATATATATACACACATATAAAACTTTATCGAAATCTCAATTTGTACCAACTCAAAATATCATACTGTTTATTAAGTTCCTGTTAAATAAATGTATCATCTTCTTTAATTAGGTCCTCATGAAATTATCTTTTATATGTCAACCCTTTAATGCTACTATATAAAGTCAGCATGATTCATAACTTTTAGTGACCTTTCTTAATGACATTTATATAAATTCCTACCCAGTGACAGGATCAAAGTGAATAACTAATAAATATATAATTCATTTCACTGAGGAAATAACATAATTTATTATCAAAGTGAGAGAGGTTTTCTCTTTTCTCTAGTAAGAGTAAAATAAGAATGAGTCTGCTGCAAGTTTTGATTTCTCTTGAACTCTAGTTTTGGAAGTAATGTTATATCAGTAGTTGAATCAGCTTATTGATTCATAATTTTTCTCCTGAGTATTTCTTTTCAGTTTCATCCTGTTTAGTAAGGACTAGATTAATCTGAGACTGATTATGTTATTAATAAATTAAATAGAATGTTTAAAATATATATCTCTTATAATTAAAACATATATCAATATACATATACTTTTTCTCCATTGGAAAATATAAAGATAAAATTTAAGGGACATGAACTAGTCCATTGGCTTTCCAGGCATTCTTCTAATCTGATTTTATATGCAGGCTCCTGGGGAAATGTGTGATCCTGGGCTCCCAGCTTTTCTCTGCAGAGTGGCTCCATTGTGGTCTAGAGCTCCAGGTCCCCTGCCGGCTCCTCTGCACTCCAGCTGGCAGCCGAAGAAGGGGAGTAGAGAGTTTCCTGGTAGGTTTCAGAGGTCAGGCCTGGGCCTGGCACATATCACTTCTGCTCACAACATTTTCATTCAAAATATGTTAATGGGCCGGGTGTGGTGGCTCATGCTTGTAATCCTAGCATTCTGGGAGGCTGAGGCGACAGGATTGCTTGAGGTCAGGAGTTTAAGACCAACCTCAGAGAGAGCGAGCTACAAGTAGAACTACCCTTTGATCCAGCAATCCCATTACTGGGCATCCCTATCCAAAGGGAAAAAAAAAAAAGACATCTGCACTAGAATGTTTATAGCAGCACAATTCACAATTGCAATGATGTGGAAACAACCCAAGTGCCCATCAATACATGAGTAGATTAATAAGATACGGTGTATGTATGCCATGGAGTTCTACTCAGCTACAAAAAACAATGGTGAGGTGCTAGCACCTCTTGTATTATGCTGGATAGAGCTGGAGCCCATTCTACAAGTGAAGTATCACCAAGTGAAGTATACCAAGAATGGAAGAACCAGCACCACATGTGCTCACCATCAAATTGGTATGAACTGATCAACACTTATGTGCACATATAGTAGTAACATTCATCAGGTGTTTGGCAGGTGGGAGGGGGGAGAGGGGGTGGGTATATTCACACCTAATGGGTGCGTGCACACCGCCTGGGGGATGGACATGCTTGGAGCTCTGGATGGGGTGGAGCAAAGGCAACATTTGTACCCCCGTAATATGCTAAAATAAAAAAAATAGAAAGGAATTAGCCAGACAACTAAAAATAGACAAAAATTAGCTGGCCTTGGCGGCACGTGCTATAGTCCCAGCTTCTCGGGAGGCTGAGGCAGGAGGATTGCTTGAGCCCAGGAGTTTGAGGTTTTGCTGTGAGCTAGGCTGATGCCAAGGCATTCTAGCCTGGGCAACAGAGTGAGACTCTGTCTCAAAAAGAAAAAAGAAAGTGTTGATGAATTAGTGGCAAACTCCCTATTAGCTATATTAATACAATAGTATTAATATATTAAGACTCTCTATCCCAGATGATATTTGATATTTTGTTCCGCCCTAACCTAACCTGAGATCAAATAAAGTTCTGTCAACTCCATTTAGTGTTACAAAATAGTCATCAAATACAAAGTCCATTAGAAATAGTTTCTATCAGAAAATAAGCAGCAGCAGCATTGATAGTGGTGATGTCAAATGATATATGCATTAAAAACATTCCATCTGAAAATATGGACATCCACTGATGTGAACAAATACTATATTATTAAGTGTGAACAAGTTGAACCAAGAAAGAAATATGTACAATATGTCCCAAACTATCCAAATGAGGAAGCATAAAACTGCTGCCCAAAATGTTTGCAGTAGGATACCTTTTTGCTCCATAAGGTGTGTTTACTACATTTCTCTACAGAGTGAGTATATACTGAGAAAAGTATTTGGCTCTGTGCGTTGGGGGAAAGAATGGGGACTTTAAGTCTATTCAGTAACTAGTTTTCTAAAAGAGAAAGTTGCCAGCATCTTCTCCTTTACAAATAGGTTGTGCTGGCCATGCATAATGGCTCACACCTGTAATCCCGGCATTTTGGGAGGCTGACGCAGGAGGATTACTTGAGGCCAGGAGTTCAAGACCAGTCTGGACAATGTTGCAAGACCCGATCTCTACCAAAAAAAAAAAAACAAGAGAGACACAGGGGCGCGCAGCTATGGTCTCGGCTACTCAGAAGGCTGAGGCAGGAGGATCGCTTGAGCCTAGGAGTTATGATTGGGTGATTGGGCCACTGCACTCTAGTCTGGGTGACAGAGAGACCTTGTCAAAAACAAAAAAAAGATGGCTCTAAGCTTGGCTGCTGGTATAGTATTGTTGATTGCAACACCACCTTTTCATTGAACCAAATAAATTTTGTTAGAAATTTGCATTTAAATAGTTAACTTATGTATATAGTGGTACATAACTATTAATTTATTATATATTGGAAACTACTTGTTCAAATTACTTTTGCTACTACATGGCACGCTAGACAACATTTCCATTACAGAGAAAGAGAGACAATAAATAGGTGCAATATAGTAACAATAAATCCTAAGGGAACAAAAACTCATTTTAATAAGGTTTGAAGGCAGCATAAAAAATTAGAGTAGTTCCTTTTATTCACAGGTATGTTTATTGGGGTAGCAGCCAAGGAGACTGGGATTATTGAACTGCTCTCTACAAAGGTTTCTTGAGGAAGATTGGGTTATGGGCTATAATTTAGGAAGCTAGAGATGTTACCTGAGTGAAGGACCATTTGAAGAAACGTGGGGTGCTGGCTTCCAATATGGAAGTGATGGCTGGGGAACTCTGTTTGAGCTCGGGTACCTGGAATGCTGCCCTTTCCCCTCCTATCTCTATGGTTTTGGAACACAGCCTCTTCCTTATTAGAGTAGTAAATTTTTAAATGCAGATAAACAAGCCAATCTAAATTGTATTTTCTTCAATTTGGTATTTAGCTGATGTCAAAAACAAAAATATGGGCCTGGCGCGGTGGCTCATGCCTGTAATCCTAGCACTCTGGGAGGCCGAGGCGGGAGGATTGCTGGAGGTCAGGAGTTCCAAACCAGCCTGAGCAAGAGCAAGACCGTCTCTACTATAAATAGAAATTAATTGGCCAAACTAAAAATATATATAGAAAAAATTAGCCGGGCATGGTGACGCATGCCTGTAGTCCCAGCTACTTGGGAGGCTGAGGCAGGAGGATGGCTTGAGCCCAGGAGTCTGAGGTTGCTGTGAGCGAGGCTAACGCCTCAGCACTCTAGCTGGGCAACAGAGCGAGACTCTGTCTCAAAAATACCAAAAATATGCCTTGGCAATTTAAAATGACTCTTTTTGTTCACAGCGTACGTCAATAAAAAAAAAATGACTCTGAAGTGCATTACTAATAAAGTCCTCAAAGTGGTCACGATGATGCAGGGTCTGGTCCTCTTCTGGAAACCTGTGGATTGTTAGCTCCGCCTCTTCTCTTTTACTTACACACACCCATTTTTCATTTTCTGTGCTGGGGTTTCTGGCAGGATGCTTTGAGACACACATGTGACCCTCAGAGGGTGGGCAGGCACTCTGGAGAGAGTAGCTGGACATTTTTTTTCCTTCCCGAATCCACAGCGCGGCCCGCAGCTGAGCGCGCCCACCTGCGCGGCCCCCCAGGTGCGCGGCCGCAGGTGCGCGGCCCCCAGGTGCGCGGCCCCCACGTGCGCGGCCCCCAGGTGCGCGCCCGCAGTGCGCGCCCCAGGTGCGCGGCCCCAGCAGGTGCGCGGCCCCCAGGTGCGCGGCCGCAGGTGCGCGCCCCTCAGGTGCGCGCCGCAGGTGCGCGGCGCGGTCCGCTCGGCCAATGGGCGCGTCCGCGGCGCGGCGGGGCGGGGCCCGCTCTGCACGCCGAGTCCCCGGCGGCCTCCGCGGCGGCGCGGGCAGGCTGAACTCTGCGCCTCTCCTTCTCCCGCCCTGGCCCTGCGGGCGATTGGCTCCGGAGCGGAGGGGCGGAGGGCGCCCCGCCGGGCCGCGGCGGTGGTGGCAGCGGGCGAGCGCGGCTGCCGCAGCAGGAGTCGCGGCCGGGCTCCCGGCACAGGACGAGCAGGCGCTCGCTGAGGAGCCGCCGGAGCAGAGCATCCCCACGGAGTCGCGCCGAGCCTGGGCATGCAGGCGACGCCCCCCGAGGTCCGAGCGCCGCCGCGGAGTCCGTCGAGGGCGCACTTGCGGCGGGACGAGGGCCAGAGAGCGCGCGGGGCCGCGAGCGAGCCCTGCGCGATGAGCGGCGAGGGCGGCTACAACTTCAGGCGGGTGGCGATCCGGCGGAAGACCAGCCCTTCCTACCTGCAGTTTGGGGTCCCCCGGCCCTGGACTAGGTCCGTGTCGCACCTGGGATGGGCTGAGTCAGCCACCTTGAGGAGCGAGGCGCCCGCGGCCGCCGCAGGTAAGCGCCTCGGGTCGGGAGCAGGGCCGGGCGCGCTGGGCGGTGCGGGTGGGGGACGCGCCCAGCACCCTGCAGGTGCGCCCCTTCCTCCGACTGCAAAAGCAACCGGCCGGGGGGACTCCAGTCCTGGGCGGCTGCCCTCGGCCACCCACTCCCTTAGCTATTTTGTCCCTTCCCCCAAAGGACCTTGGGCGCGAACCCGCCTAGTGCTGAGCTTGCTCTCGAGGTCACATCGCAGAGCATTCCGGAAGCAGAGGTCTCTTGAGAACAAACACGCACAACTTTTGCGAGGAGTCTATAAAGCCCGTTTTCTACCTATTGAAGTTTAAGATTCTTTGCTAAACTCCTGCTTTCGGCAGACCTCGTGAAGGCCTGACTTTGTGAACGGGGCGGCTGATATCCATCCTGTTCCAGCATCCCAGCTGCTGTGAGCGACCTCGGGCCAGATAGGCACAGTGCCCGGGTTATCCCTTCTGAAAGGACGCTGACCCCTCAGCAAGTCTCTCATAAGGAAACGCGCCACTAGTATCAGGAAAGTGAATTCTTACTGCTGTTTTCGATTTAATAAATTCAGACATCAGTAATCCAGTGTGCTGATTTCTGAATTCTCCTCGAATCTTAGTGAAGGTAGAAATTCTCAAGGTGATTTATTCAAGGCCACATCATTTCCTTTGTCTTGTAAATGTGTCTCCCCCCGCCCCCCCCAGGCGAGCTTGAAACTATCTTAAATACACTAGGGATTTTTTTTTCTTAGATTTGCTAAACTTTTCATTAAAATCCCCTCCCACCCCGTGTTTTTTTGTTTTGTTTTGTTTGGTGACCAGCTTATGAGGCAAAAGGCTTATTTAAGCAGCAGAAATACGAACACTTCCAATTACTTTCACTTATTTTATTATGGTTAAGCAAAGCTGTTACGACAATTTACCTATGGTAAATATTGGAGCTTTTAAATATTCTCTTTTAGTTCTTGTCCTGAAGTTGTAGTAGGACAGGAAAACATGATGGATGATGAATTACAAATGTATAACCGCACTAGATTAGAAGAAATTATAATGTGAGAAAATATTAACAAGTAACGGAATTACAGTGCTTGCGGTCTCAATTTCCTCATCTGCAAAATGAGGACACTGGTGAAACAATTCCTGAACTGTCTTCCAGGTTTATGTGTGATTTTTAAAATGAATGAAAGACTGTTTTCTTCCTTATCAGGTGAAAAGGCTTTGCATTGAAGGTAATTATTTATTAATTATTTTCCAAGTTATTTAATCTACACAAGTTGTAAATTGTCAGCTGTTTTCAATTTGAGGATAATGGGCACCACATTCTTTACATTTTTTACTTAAATTGACCTGGCTTAATTTCAAACCCACGAAGGGGATGAGCAAAAGATAAAGTGCCTTTTTGAAGTAAGGAAGAATGGAGTTGTTGCAGTCTGTTGTCAACGGAAAATAACCCAAACAATGTAAAATAATTTGAAGAGATGTATTCAGAACTGAGTATGTGCGACCTTGGCCCTTGGGCCATGCCCAAGAAGCCTGGAGCAAATGGTCTCAGTGTTTGGGTTACAGTTTGGTTTTATAGGTTGGAAGGAGAGGGGAATTATACATAAATCAGTACATGGAAGGCAAATATTGGCTTGGCCCCAAAAGGCAGGCCCGATATCCATAGTGCCTGGATATATCAAAGCAGGAAATTATAGGTTATAGGTGGATTTAAAAGATTCTTTGATTTGTATTTGGCTAAAGAAATGAAGCTTTTGTCTAAAGGCTTGAAATGTTTTAAGTTAAGGAAGTTCGTTAATGAGAGACAAGTCACCAGACATAGGTAGAGACTCAAGTGATCTGTCAAGTAAATTGAGGACCTGCTGGTGGTGTTTAAGCTTTGTCTTGCTTGGCCTTAGGCCTGTTAATGAGTTACAAAGGGTATCTCCCAGAAGGGAGTGGAAGCCTGACAAGGCCTGACTTCCCTTCTGATGGCCAACAACTCAGCTTTAGGGTATTTCTGGAGTCCCCTTAGCCAAGAGGGGGTCCGTTTGGTCGGGCGGGGGGCGGGGGTGGGGTGGGCGTTTGCTTAAGATTTTTAGTTCACACTGTAAATCATTTCTACAAGGCTGTTGTACTTACAGAGGAAAGATTCCTTTCTTTCCCTTTTCTAGTCTTTCTCTCATAAAAGATGGGATCTTAACTGTGTTGCCCAGGCTGGAGTGCAGTGGCTGTTCATAGCCATAATCATAGCACCCTTCTGCCCTTGAACTCCTGGGCACCAGTGACCCTCTTGCCTTAGCCTCCAGAATAGCTGGGACTATAGGCACGTGCCATTGTGCCCAGCTGTCTCTCTCTCTCTCTCTTTTTTTTTTTTTTTTGAGACAGAGTCTCACTTTGTCACCCAGGCTAGAGTGAGTGCCATGGCGTCAGCCTAGCTCACAGCAACCTCAATCTCCTGGGCTCAAGCAATCCTGCTGCCTCAGCCTCCCAAGTAGCTGGACTACAGGCATGCGCCACCATGCCCGGTCATTTTTTCTATATGTATTAGTTGGCAATAATTTCTTTCCTATTTATAGTAGAGACGGGGTCTCATTCTTGCTCAGGCTGGTTTCGAATTCCTGACCTCGAGCGATCCGCCCGCCTCGGCCTCCAGAGAGCTAGGTCTCTCTCTTTTTTAAAGAATATCCAGAGCATTTTTTTTTTTAAATAGAGAATGTAGCAATAACTTTTCTGTGTTTCTTTTATATTGTCCCAATATTGTTCAGTGCTTGAAACTCGAAGTTCTTGCTGCTATTATTTTCAGGGTTGAAAAGTAATTACTATATCTTAATAGATACAACTGTTCCCCTTTCCATAATAAAATCTGTAGCATCTGTAGGAGAATGATCTAGTGTTATAAGTAGTCTCAAACTTCTGGTGACCATACCCTGTTCAATTTGGGGAGGGTAAAAATATTTTAGGAAGTGCTTCCTGCTTTGAATCAAATCCTGCCTCCCTATTCAGTTGCTTATCTGTCATTAGATTCGTAGAACTCCTCCAATCAAAAGGTAAACCAGATGTAAATTCCTGAAAAGTGCCAATTCATTCTATAGCTCCTAGAAAAATATTTATATAGCAACCACAACATTTAGATGCATTACAAAGTGGATATTACTCAATTGACATGTTACTTTCCCTCTTAAAGAAGGAACGAAAACTGAAAGGTCAAGAATTTACCAGATAATTGAGTTTAGCAGTGTTGTGCCATGTTCCATGGCTGTAAAACCCACTGATTTTAGAGTTCTCTGCTTTCCGGCCAAAAACAATGAAAATAAAATCTACCAACTATGTCCTTTGTATGAACCTGAATGTGAAGCTCCTCTTCTAAGTGAAGCAGAGAGGGGAAGTCATTAAGCCATAGGTTTTGGGGTTATCTAACACCCTCTTCCATCACTAGCTGTGTAAATTGGACTGAGTCTGTTAATCTCTGAGTTTCTTCATCTAGACAGCAGAGATAAATAGTACTTTATAGGACTGCTGGCGGAATTAAGTAAAATTGTGTAGGTAAATGTCTGGCACAAAACAACATACTGGATAGTATCATTCATAACAAGGATTCATTCATCTCCATGTCCCAAAAAGTCTGACGCTAGGACTGGCACATAGGAGACAGTCTATAATACTTGTTGAATTAATGCTCTCCCCCTGTGGTGTTCAGCATAGCCACTATTTATTGAATGCGTTTTCTATACTAAGAACTGTGCTGTGACTCACACAAATACGCATGTATAAATTTGCTTCACAACAGTCCTCCGAGGTAGGCAATATTATACCCATTTTATGGCTGAAGACGTTGAGGCACAGAGTTTGACTAACTTGCTTGGAATCTTACCTGGTAATTGGTTAGCCAGGATTCACACAGAAGTGTGGCTGACATCAGAGGTAGTGCTCTTACCACACATCACACAAAGCAAACGAGCTGGCCTCTCTTAAGTCTTCATTCTAAGCAAGTGACTGAGAAGTGACATGAGTGAGCAGAGGGTAAAAAACACCAGGTGGTCTTTAGGCACAGAAGGGAGAAAGTTCTTGACCGTTGTGGCCCCATAAATTAAAGTTTAAATATCCAGAAGTCATTTGGTGCCCTGTCTCAAAATTGTCTTTTTTGACATTATGAAAAATTCATTCAAAGGAATATATGCACAAAAAGTTGGATTAAAAGATATTTGTTAAATCTGATGTCACCTAGCAGTTTATAAGTACTGAAGTACTTGGATTTATTTCTACCATCTTATTTTGTGCTTTATTTGGTCCAGCTTTTTCTAGCCCTTCCTCTTTTATCTATTTCTATAGTTGAATTCTGAAGCCCTTGAGGGTGGGGGCGGGTCTTTCTATTGAATGCCTCTGCTGTCATTCAAGGGGGCTTATTTCCTTAGTTTATTCCCTAGCTTTATGGGAATTCTCAAGGCTCCGTATTGAAGATGCATTTCTGTAGAAAATATTTGTTTCTCCTTTCAACCCAGGACCTCATTAATATATTATTACACAGCCATTTCCCCAACTTCAAGGTAGTGTAAATTTGAACTAAGGCTTGCTCAGGGGATGCTTATTTTTCTGCTCAGGCTTGGCGTAGGTCTCCATGTTTTCTCATCAGCTTGTTTTGGTGGAAGGCAGGTTTTTCCCAGGCCACCCTTTTATGGTGCAGCTTCCATATCTACGGGGCACTGGTCTAGGTTCAATCTGTTTCCCATTGTAGAAAGCCCTAGGCCAGGTCTGTCCCCCTGTAAGGCCCTCAGTCCCCTAGGCTTTAGGTTCCTGGCACTGTGCCCAGGGGTGCATGGTCTTATGAGTTAGTTATTAATATTTGGGTTTAGGTTTACAGTTCTTTTTCTTTTTTCCCCCTTTGCCCTTAGGCATCTCCTTTATTTCCTTATGAGCTCAGCAATGCGTTTAAAAGTGTATCTGTGGTAATTTATTTAGCATCTGGGTGCTTTGTGGTGAGGGACCTTACACATTATATACTTTGCTAGCTTTCTATGT